GGGGGCGGGGCGACGCCGGGATCCAGGGAGGTTGGGGGTCGGGCGGTGCCGAGAGTGAGGGAGAAGGTGGGGGCGGGGCGAGCCAGGATCTGGGGAGGAGATGGGGCGGCCGCCGGGGAGGAGGTCGGGGGCTGGCAGCGAAGGGATCTGGAGGAATCGCTAGGTCAGGAGGAACGACGGGGAATTGGTAGGGTTTTTTCGTGGGAGGGTTGCGAGTTAACGGAGGTGGGAGGATGACGAAAAAACCCGGAGGTGGGAGGATGACGAAAAAGACCAGCGAAATTAAACCGCGCAAACTATTCACCAAGTCGTCCATTAGGAGTAGAGATATAGAAAAATACTTTCTCCGTCCCCAAATACTGGTCCTAGAAATGAATAAAATTGATTTCTAATACAAGTATTTTCGGACGTTATATTAACATATAGACAGCGAAATATATATCATTGGATTCATCATTTATTTTCACATCATATAAATTTGTTACTGTAAACATTCATATTGTTTTCTACAACCTTGGTCAAAACTTTATAAAGTTTGACTTCAGCCAAAGCTAATATGGGGAGTACATAAAACCAGAGGGAGTGATTATTTTTCAGAGTTTCTCAAAAGAAACTTCTTTTTTTAGAGATTCTAAAATACCTACTTAAGAAAAGATAAATTATCAAAAAGCATAATTGTCTAAAAAAATAGAAAAGCATAACACTTTAATTCGCATATCATCAAATTCTACACTAAGCATATCAATCAGATTATACACTAAGCATATCCTTGGATTTTACACTAAGCAAATTTCTAGAATAAGATAAAAACCTTTAAGTAACATACCATGAGATGTTGATCAGTAACATTGATCCTTATCAGACGGGTTATGAATGGCACCCCGACATAGATATCACGTGGCGGAAGTCAGTCGAAGAGGTTGTCGGTCTCATCCTCGCCAACCCTAGTTCTTCGGGCAAAGACTGCATCATCAAATGGGTCCTCCTTGTCATCATTCGTGTTGACCCTGAGTCTTCTTCCTCGTAAGGAGAAGCTGATTATGGGCGAGAAAACTATTCCATCCATCTAGTCATTAATGATAATATCTAAAAAGAAAAAAAATAGACATATCCTGTTAGAGAAGAAGGTTTGTTACCGCTGAAAACATAACACTGTTGGAAATAGATGCCGAACAAATCGCCAGTTGCAAGGCTGCTAGCACACCTTAACTTGCACAATTGACATGATGATAATGGCACAATTCTTAAAAAAGCATATCAATTGATAAAATTCTGCACTAAAGCAATTTGTACAGTACCAAAAAATTCAACGTATTCTACACAAAAGCATTCATCACAAAAGCGTATTATTGGAATCTACACAAAAGCGTATCACCGGACTCTACACAAAAACACTACTAAATCGAATTTACTAAGTATAATCGGATTCTACCTGAAACATAAAATCAAGACAGAAGACGAACATCCGATTCTACACTAAAAGATGTTCAACACTACAAAATTTTTACACCAAGTATAAAATTGGATTGTACACTACTAAATCGAATTCTACCCTAAAACATAAAACCTACACAAAATACGATCATCCGATTCTACTCTAAAACATATTCAACACTTAAAAAAAATTCTACACTAAGTATAAAATTGGTCGTACACTACTAAATCGAATTCTACTAAGTATATTCGCATTCTACACTACTAAATCTAGTTGCAAGGCTACTAATATTCTACAGAAATCAACTAAATCCACAGATTCCATGGCATCCGCAGACAAGGGAGGCGCGAGGGGAGGGGATCTCCCCTGCTGCCGAGGTGACCCTTTCTGGCGGTGTGACGATGTGCATCTTGGTCCGGCGATGACTAGCGGCGTGGTTCGGCATTGGTCAAGAGAGAGAGGGTGAAAAAGATAGAAGGAGATCAGAATGCTAGATTTTTTACTGAGAGGGATAGTGATATGAGATGGACTAGTGCTGTCGTGGGCCTAACATGCCACGCCATAATGAAGTAAAGCTTAAAGAAAAAAAAAATGCAAATAACACAAATGGCATGCAAAAGAATTCCAACGCGAACACGAAGGGTTGACGTATCAAATAGTCCAACGCCACCACTATTTTAAAAATATAGTGGCGGCGTTGATTGAAAATGACGCGCCACAGTTTTGACTATCATTTTTTTATTAGTGTACAATCGACCCAAACCGACAAAATGCGGACCAATTCCACGTCTATTTGCGTCAGCGCGTTGAAGTTGGCCTGACATATTGTGACCACATGGTTGCATGTTGAGAGAAATAGGTCAATAAAAATCATTTGTTTTAGTCATGTATAGAATTTAGTATAAAGAGTAGACACAACTTATTCTTCGAGTCAGTCTTTCGGGCTCGGATCCTCCTCAAGTTTGTTCGTAGGGACGGACTAGACGGAGCTCCGGCGTAGATTTCTGCCAGCTCCTCGGAGCGGCGAGGTTGGGGGGTTTCTCGTCGTGCATACACAATGACGAGATTTGGTGTCAGATTCTTCATATTGATTCATAGATTTAATGACGACGACTGCGGCTCCCGAACGCTGGTCCATAGGGGCACGTGCACGAAGACTTCCCAGCTTTCGTCGACAAGGTCAAATCGGCTCCTGTATGGGAGCGGCGACGGCTTGTTTTGACCACAACAATGCGTTCGGTTGTCCATGGACCTCGATGCAATTTTTATTATGTTTGGAGTGTTTTGTACTTTCAATGAATCTTTGTTATAGTTTGATATATATTTTTTAGAAAAACTCATTGCCACAAAATATTCAATCATGGAAGGAAACTATATTTACTTTCCTTATTTTATCGCATTTTGTTTTCCACGGGACCTGTGTGCAAAACAGGAACTTCTAAGGGAGCAAACCGCCTTCGGGGTTTCCAAATAAATAGCCGTGAAACCTTCTCCCCTTTTCCATCCCGCACCCTGCACACGTTTCTTCTCCAGGCCCTCGCGAGTTTGCGGAATTGCCACACAGGTCCTCCCGCCGCGACCGCAATGGAACCATCCGGTTCAGGAGCAGCACAACCGGGCGAGGACGACCACGGCCAAGAACCGGCCCATGACCGCCCCTGCGCCTCCAATGGCGTCCCGAGCGCTGCTGCTGCTGCGCCGCCGCCTCCCCGCGCGACGCCTCTCCGCCTCGAGCAGGCCGGAGGCGGCGCCGACGGGTCGAGCTCCGCCGCGGCGGGGGGCGACCTGAAGGGCGAGGGGGCGCTGCCGCCCAAGGTCATTCCTTCTCCTCCGTGCTCCGCGGGCAGCGGCGGCTCCTCCGCCCCCTCCCTCGACCACGCCACGGCATTGAGAGCCGGGGCCTTCGGAGTTGGGGGAGCCGACCCTCGCGGCGGGCAGCGGGGACGCGCGGGTGATGTGGAACGACCCCGTGGTGGCGGGGACGTGGGAGGCGCCCCACGCGGCGGCGCATCCGTCCGACCCCAAGCTGGTGTCCAGGCGGCCGTCGGCAAGGAGAACAGGCCATGGGGACAGCAGGTGATGATTGGCCTCCGCGACGTGCTGCTCTTGTTGTTTCTTGGAGTTCTTGGAGCGCTCCGGAGTGCGTTCTTGAGCGTTTCTTGGTTTCCTCTTGAGCAGTTCAACTCGTTGCGCGCGGGAGAGGCGATGCATAGGAAGGAACAGGTATGGTCTTATTGTTCGCTCGCTCGCTTGTGATTTGTTGCCAATCTTTCTGTTCGGAATGTGGAATTGGGATCTCTAAGTCTATTAAAATCTTGGGGTTGGGGATGATTTAGTAGTAGAAACGGAATCAAGTTTAGGCAAATATTGGGGACAGTTTGACGATTAGGCATTTTCCTGATTATTACTCGAGTTTTTCTTGCGGCGTGCTATCAGATTTAGAGGTATCTTGTTGTGATTATTCGTAACTGTTCAACATTTAGGTGTCCAGGCTTGTGCTAATTGATTTTTCTATTAGGTATGATAGCATGTTTTGCACTTTTGCTGCAAGTGAAAGATGTGGGGATCATGTCTTGGCAGTGGTTGCTGTCATATTTTCGCAAGAAATCTCGATGCCGAAATGTACCAGTTTCCAGTGTAGATGAATGTCGTTATAGGGGAAGTTAAGCCGACTGTTTGCTCGGGATTACTTGACTTGGCGTACATTATCTGGATCCTTTTGCCTTTGGTCATCTGTTCCCTGAAAGGCTGAAACTGGCTCCGAAGCCTCAAAACTCAATTCATATGAATAATTGGCAAGAGTGAAAGGATTTGGATAACTCGATGTTTCAATCTTGTTAGCTTTTTCACCTTTGCTAATCCGAAATGTGTGATCTTGATGCTAATTCTGTTGAGCAGGAGAAACTATCACAAGTAAAGGCTGTGGTAAAGGTGAGACCCAAGCAGGACAAACTTTTTTCGAAAAAGGGCGCCAAGCTGGACAAACTACTGCTAGTAAAGGGGAAATCGATCCCGAGTCGGCTTAAGAGCAAGGTATGGCCTGAATCTTGTCCACTCTTCTCACTTATGATTCGTGGGTGGTATGACCATATGAGCATTCTTGCACTTACCTATTTTTTTGTGCATAGAAAGTAGAACTGGGTTTTTTTGGTTTTCTTGGTTTCTGTTTGTTCATGTTAAATTTAGGACCTGTTAGTGTAATCAAGGCATGAAATCTTGGTTAGAGTGATAGTACGTGGCATCCTAGCATATATGAGGAATCTTGGGCAAATGTTGGCAGCAGTACACACGTCCTTGTTGCTCGTGGGTCTTTCCACAATCTGCCATTGTATTTTGAAGCAAATGGCTATCTTGTTGGAACTGTTGTCTGTAAAATGTGGGGAAATCATGAGGTCATATCCTGATTACTGCAATATTTTGGTAACAGAGCCTGAAGTTGAATGTATGAGCTTCCTTTGTATACAAATGCTGCTATCAGAATCTTTAATCTAGGCATTAGTTCAAGACTACATAACTGAGCATAATTCCTGTAAATCATTTGCCATTTACATGCAAAATCGGCAAGCACTTTAGGACTTGGTTGAGAGGTTTCGCCATTTGGTTGATTGGTACCTGGAACTGGTTCAGAAGTCTCAAAATATAATTTCATGTAAATAGTTGCCAAAAAAAGAAGCTTTGGTTGCACACGTTTTGTGGTCTTGCTATACATTATTGTTTTTTTCCTTTTGACCTGGAAAAGGAAAAAGGACTGGTTGTTTGTTAATTCCATTCGTTTTTCATTCCCCTATTTCTTCTTTTGAAATACTCGATCTTCTTGTTGATTCTGTACAATTGTAAGACTGGCAGGATGTATGATATTTAACTTCGTTTTCTTCATTTCTGTCAAATAGATTTTTCGTGGAAAAGGAAGGGGAATATGTCCAGAACATGTGAAGCACCAGGTTCGTCTCCATTTTGCCTAATGTCATGCACAAAATGGAAGTGCAAGAAAATCAGGATCAAAGCCCTATATCACAAGATACTGTGATTAGTGGTTCCTGTACAATCAACTATTCAGAAGGAATATGTTCTCTTTTATAAATACTAAATTGTATGTTAACTCTTGGTTGTGATAGTCTGATGGGACCTGAATCATACTGTTACTCTTGGTTAAGTTTATCACATGCTAATAGATATCTTCTTGTTTTCTTACTGAATAACAACCAATCAGTATCAGTGATGGGATTATATACTAGTGGTTTCAAACATTTCCAAAGAACATGGAAACCCGAAAATTTGAATAATAACAAAATTTCCATCACATTTTTAGATATGTTGTTTCCATGTTTAACTCAACATAATTTGAATTCTTATATTTGTGTGTTTGTTGCAGACACTTCGCATATCTGAAGTCAGAAGGCACTATAAGCTTACTTATGACGAGGCAAACCATCTTCATGCTTATTCAGAATGTAGACCGGTGATTGGAGATGGGGAGTGTTTCTACAGGAGCTTCATATTTTCATACCTTGTAATCGTCCTCCCCTCTTTTCCTTACCATAGGATGTAGGTTTAGTTATTTAACTTTCTCTGTTTTCGCGAATGTACAACAGGAGCAAGTTATTGATAGGCAGGACACACATGAGGAACACCGTCTCCTTAGAAGAGTGTCTACACAACGTGCAAATCTTCAATGGGACTCTGAGTTTTCCCGGAGCAGAAGAGTAAGTTCTCGCCTTCTCCATACTTGGTTCTTTCTCGTATAAACATGCTTGCAAGGGATGATGATTCTATTCAGGTTACATTACACTTCAAGTAGCATCTGGCATCTCATTATCTTTGTTTGTCATTTGCAGGAGATGCACAATTGCTTAACAGTAGTGGCATACCGTCACAGTTTTACACAATGTTGGCACAAACTCAAATTTGAAGCTTATAGTGAAGCTAACAACCCGATTGTAACAATAATGACCTTAAGAGAAATTTACTTGCAAAGGAACAACGGCAATATAACAGGGAAATAACATAATTTTATGCTTGTTTGAGCACTGCAACAATGCACACCTGCTGGTTATTATTGTACAGTCACCTCACCATTCTCGTTCCGTTACTATGCTATAGTATATGCTTAATGACTGAAGCTTCTCAGGGAGTTGTCTTAGCTGTATTCCTTTATATCTTGCCATTGATCAATATTGTGTATGTATTATTGTAACCTATGGTGTGTAATGATTATCAACTGTGAATAATTGAGTTACTGATTCTTTCAGGCATTTAAGGAGCTGATTGAGAACGTAATGAAATGGAAGAGCAGGGAATCAACTAGCAGGTTTTTGATTCTCTTGGTTTTCTGAAATTCCATCAAAGTATTGTAACTGAATGCTTTCCATCTCACTGACATGATATGTGCCATTTTTAGTCGCCGTAAAGAGAAACTTCTCAAGTTCTTCAGCACGTATGATACGACGCAAGACAGTGAGAAAAAACACCCTTGACCTTACATTTCCTTCTGTTCATCGCAATTCATGTTTCTGACACATTTTACTGCTTAGTTTTTGTTTTCCTCAGATTACTAGTAGCTATCCAGATATGCTCGCACAGGGAGGTGTATGAACCGATTATACAAGGGCCCGGAGGAAATTACAGTCTGGAAGTTGTCAGTATCAGCACCTCCTCCCTTACATTACCTCGTGCTGAATTTCCAGTGCATCCATTGTTGGATACACGACACTCATTTTACCTGACCTGTTGTTGCACAAACAGTGGTGCTTGCAGCACGTCATTCCAGCTCGTGTGTACGCGGACCATGTTATGATGGTGGCTTTGGCCAGAGCGCTTGAGGTCCCCCTCAGAGTGGAATCACTCCAACGAGGATATGCTCCAGATATCTACACTGGTCCTGGAGTTCCCCGTCCAAGCGTGACCCTGCTGTACACGGGTGATCACTACGACATCATCTACCCACGTGCTCCTTCTGCTGAGAGTTCAAGTCATCGGGCTTCCCAGGGAGAACATCCTGGTGATCAGAGTTCAAGTCATCAGGCTTCCCAGAGAAAACATCCTGGTGATCAGAGTTCAAGTCAACGGACTTTCTAGAGAGAACATCCTGCTGATCAGAGTTCAAAGTCAACAGATTCCGTCGGATTAAAGTTGAGTTGGGCTGCTGCCGTTGAATGAGAGTGTTGCTGAGTTTAGTGGTAGAGTAGATGCGCCGATGAAGTTGGGGTAGGCATAGCATATACTAGTTACTTGTGCATTCTTCTTCTGTTGGTGAACGTTCTGTGATCACATTCGAACTTCTTAATTGTGTTTTCAAAATTTGAACATGGGCATGATATCAGTTGATTTTTTTTTTTTTGGTATGTTCTGGAAGACACAAATATTGCTCTTGTTTGGACATGTCTCTTTGGTGGTTTGCCGTTTTGTTTACAGCAATGTGGATGATGACATTATCCTAGTTTTCACATTTATATTGGTCACCTAAACAAGGCTGAGTTAAGTTGCGTTGTTCTGCTGCTGATGGCAATACAACAAGCCAATAGATCTCACATGCAAAAATTCAACAGATTTTGCTAGGTTAATGTTGAGTTGGGGCTGCTGCCTACATATGAATGAATACAGCAATGAAGCAGAGATACTTGTGCATTCTTTCTTGTGTTGGCAAAGATACATACTGCTGATGCCACTGGATTGATCAGTTGACATATTTACAGGGATGAATATAACCGTTTAATTAGTTTCCATGATTGGTTTATTTGTGATTCTTTCTATCTCTGCTGTTTACCCTGCTTGTGTCTGAACCTGTATGATAAGCTAATATATTTTCCAGCAATGGCTTGGGGAACCTGTTTTTCTTTTTTTTTTCCTTTTTTTTTGCTTTATATTGCGGTGTACTTCCTCCGTAAAGAAATATAAGATCGTTTAGTGATTTTACATGTCATGCACCTTTGGACTGTTCCAGCCATATGAAGAAGATGAACATTTATACCCGTTCGCTTACATAGTCACAAGTTGCAGAAACCACAATCTTTAGTAGTGTCATCCAGGAAAGGATCTAGCTCTGGAAAAACGTTGCAGACATGAACATTCGGACAACGACGAAGGAGAAGAAAGAAAATGGAACAACTGTGTATTGGTACCAGACATCAACATCTGGAATTCTGGAGGCTTAAGAATTGCTGCAGTCCTGAGATACGGAGTACGTATAATTCATCTTCAGATTGGATTGGATTCAAGTGAAAGGATTCGAGGTATCATTTAGAGAGTGGGACAGCTACCTGAAGAGCGTACGTTCCAATAAATCATTGCTCATCTTCCTAGTTCTGATCCCCGTTGGAAGAAACTACTGGGATAGAGCAATTTTTTCTATCCATATGACCTTTTCACCAATTAGATAAATTGCATCAAATCGAAGAGCTTACAGGAGCAGAATAGTCGAAAACTAAACAAACATTCCTGCTGCTATCAATCGGGGCAAACTGGGAAGTGTAACGAAGGAAAGAAAGCTGATACGTCCATTATCAACTTGACAAAATTTAAGAGCAATGACGTCAATCTTGTTCTCCACGGTTTCAAGTTCATTTTTCTTTTCCAACCGGGCAACCCCCTTCCATTTAACGAAAATACAAAGTTCACTACATAAATTACAAAAGCAAGATCAGGATGAGGGAAAGAGAGGGAAGCAGTTGGTGCATTGCGAGGAAACCCGCCATGAGTGCTCGATCTCGAAACACTCCACGCGACAAAAGCCTGCCAACACAAACTAGAGTAGCAAAACGGCTAAACACCACACCTCCAACCAGCAGCAGGCAGCAACATCCAAGTTACGCATGAAGATAGTCTACAAGTGTCGGGGGTTGGATGCGACATATGCCAAATGATGGCTTATCATGGTGGGAGCGAGTAGAACGTCGCCGGTGCTAGGAAACGGGATTAGGCGAAGGCATGCACGCCGACGAATCTTACCCAGCTTCGGGGCTCTCCGGGGAGATAACACCCCTACTGCTGCTTTGCGGGGTCTCCGCATGATCACTAAGGCGTAGTGACTACAAGGTTGCTCCTAGAGCTGTATTCTGGAGGTGGAAGGAGGCAAGGCTAGCCTTCTTCTTCCCATATGATCTGGTCTAAGGCTAATGGATGCGAACCCTTTGCATGGGTGCCCCGGGGGGTTTATATAGGCCTACCCCCCGGGGATACAATGGTAATCCGGCTGGGCGTGGGTCCCAGCCGTCTGTCTCACAGGCCGCCGTCTTCTCCGCCGACTCGTGGGCCCCGCCGGCGAGTCCGGCACTGTAGCCGTGCTTCTGATGACGCAGGCTCGGTCATTGGGTCGTGGCAACAGTGCCGCCGTCTGTCGGGCGATCACTGTCGTTACTCCCCATCTTGTCTGGTTAATGGCGCGTGGGTCCCGTGAGAGGGGCTGGCCGACTCCGGGGAGCCGACTCCCACGGGGCCGCCTGCGGGGCGTATCCGCCGTCTTCTAGCTCTCACTGACTGGCGGGTCCGCCGTCTCTGAGCCGTATAGGTAGGCCGTCGTGGCCACAGTGCGCCGCGCACTGTGGCCGAGGTCAGTCTGGCATGGCTACAGTGCCGGGCCACGCCGGAGATCTCCGGCGGTACGGCATACTGTAGCCACGCCGGCTCCTCGCAAGCAGGAGGTGATGGCCACGCCGTGGTCGTACCCGCAATGAGTGTAGAGTCGTGGGCCGACTCTCTATAGCCGGCTCCTCTGGAAGTCGCCGGCCATGAGTCGGCCCATCTGGGAGTCGTCATCTGAGACTCGGTTCATCTGGGTGTCGTCATCTGAGACTCGGCTCATCTGAGAGTCGTCATCTGAGACTCGGTTCATCTGGGAGTCGGTATCTGAGACTCGGTTCATCTGGGAGTCGGCATCCGAGACTCGGTTCATCTGGGAGTCGGCATCTGAGACTCGGCTTTGAGGGGCGCGGCCTGCCCCGATGTCTTGAAAGGTTCTGGGGTTCGGGTCAGCCTACCCGTGGCCCATTACTCCGACAACAAACCATGGAAACAAAAAACCTAACACAGCCAAAAGAGAGCCGCAACACATGTCCAGCAGCAGCAAAGGAAAAGACGAGATCACCCATTAGCGACGCGACCCACTCCCAGTGCAACAGCTTGTGATTTCATCTGCCGAACAAGTGCCGCAGCTTCATACGTCAACACACGAACCCCACCTGGGAACACATCCTTGTCTGCGCCTTTGAGTAAACCTGCCCAATACATCATGAAAGATTCGCAAAACCCTGGACACAAATTGGTAGGATCATTTTGGTGGAAGGATACTCTGAAATTAATGCCTCCTTATAAAAGATTCGTTGTCTACAAACCTGCTGGCAGTGGTGATACCCAACAAATCCCAGAGGATTTCGGATGTTCTTTTTTTAGCTATCGCTTGCAGTTTTCTGTGATCCCTTCTTATCTGAATCCGATCAAATTTTTCGTCACAGAAATCTTATGTATTGGCACGAAATTTCTGCTTTGAACGACCAACAAAGCATGAAAGGATGGAGGCCATGAATTACTCTAGTGGCCCTGGCTGTGGCCGGGCATGCTGGAACGAAAACTATCTATTTGCAGCTGGTACGTAGCGCTTTTGCCTCAACCATGCAACCATCTCCATGGGTCGCTCACCCACCACCTTCTCACTCTTTCTCTCCCCCGTCACATTCACTGCCTCCCTCATGCATCCTGACTGCAGCGACCACAAAGCTAACTAGAGTGGAAATCAAATCAAATCACCGCCAAGATAAACAAGAGTGAAAAATAAAATCAGACATGGCACGACTAGTTGTTCGCGCTCGAGATAATGCATGTGGAGGGGAGAGGCATGGCTACGGTACAAATTCTAAATATACTAAACCTGGCTAGGTTTAGTTTACCAGGTTTTTTTGACTTTTTCTTATCAGTGAAAATCGGTCCAATGGGCAGCCGCCACGTCAATTAGTGGGGGACATGGCAGGGTAAGCTTCTGGGTGCGCTTGGCGATTTTCCTGCTGACCACTTGCTCAGTTTTATTTTGTTTTATCTGGCCTAGAGTCAAAGCGGTTGTGCTCTTTGTTCAGCGTTTCTCCTCCTCTAGCGATATTTCGTCCAATCTCCTCTCGCCGCTTCACCGCTGTTTGGCTCCTATAAAATGCTTCCCTCCGATCGAGTCCCCCAATCCACGCCGGTCTTCCTCGCCCACCTCTCGGCTACGCCCACGCCCTCCATCTCGGTCACCTCCCGGAGCTCCCGTCCCCGTGGCCGCGCCGTCCCCCGTCCTACCTCGCGGCGTCCCTCCATCTCCCCTGTGCGCAACCAAACTGGTGCCGCACGCAGCTGTCGCACATCCTTCCGGCCCGGCTGCTCCACCCCCCTCCAGCCAGCTACTCCAACCACGGCGCGGCGGCCGGATCCAATCTATATGGCGTGATGGCGACCAAATCCATGACGGGAAAGAGACCCAGTGGTTCCCTCCGTCTCAAGCAGGTATGTCTCCTCGCCTCATCCCCTCTCGCGAGCACCTCGATGTTGTCTCACGGGTCCTGCCCCTTCACAGCCGTCGGCCACCTGCAGCAGCCCCAGGATTGACGGCGTCTCCCAGGCTGCCGCACGGTCCTGCTCGGCGGCCTCGAGCTGCAGCTTTGGCACATGGTACAGGACGTGTCGCTGCTATTCCCATGCGGATCCACTGAGTTGACGATGTTGAATCAGCTGTGGCTTCCGGACCAATCATGGAGTTATGGAGGATGTCCCCTTCCATAGTGTTACGCTACAAGGGATTTCATTTCTTGCTGAAAAATTATGTCAGTCCTTCCTGATTTGCACGTGTTAATGTAACTGCTGAACATCAGTTCTCTCTCATCATTCATTGTGCAGGTTTAAGGACATACATATGACAAGGCAGTTCTCTAATGAGTAACTAACTGATCGCATTTTCTTCTCAGTGCTATTTTTTCCAGTTAGTAACATACTGTCAGTGATCATTTGGTGTTGATATTTCAACCTCGCCCTTAATTTATCCCTTTGATTCTCTCTTACAGTGTGTGATTTTCAGTGAGTCCTACTAGGATGGAAGACGCTGCAATAATGTGTGA